GTTACAATTTCAATTGATGGATCTGTTCCAGAGGGTAGTCTAAATCTGGGCTGCCTCTGGTTGGACAAAGTCAAGTGTTTTCCCCTACTCTGAAGTTATCTACCTACTCTTTAAAGATCAGTCCATCAACACCTGTTTCTATGGTAACCATTTCATGCTAGGGAAAAGCAGGACATGGACCCTCTTCTCTTTCCAAGCATCAGACAGTTTTTCATACCGTTCTGGAAGTATAGGATGAAATTTGGGCTACAATCTGTAATTTAGATAAATGATCCTTGTGATTAGTAAAATTTAGCAGGGAGACGCTGGGTCCATTAACAATGTGTACACATTTCATCTCCCAGGATGTCACTATCAAGTAATTAACACTGATAATCTCATAATTTATCACTATCTCAGAAATTCCTTTTGGAGGGACAGAGAGGGGTGCTGCTCAGAACATAGCAGCAATGGAGGGTTAGCATTAATTTGAGGAGTTGGAATAGTATTCAACAATCTCTTTAAAGTAGGGATGTTAACCAATTAAATGTTAAATTTACCCAGTTAAACAGGATCCTGTGCTGCATGGCTCAGTGGGCCTGGCTGGAGCAGCTCCCTGCCTGCATCACTGTGTGGTGGACCCAGCTGGGATGGAGCAGGCCCACATGAAGCTTGCATAAACTGAAGAGCAGGAGTGCCAAAGAAAACAGCTTGCATAAGACTGATTTAATCAGGTGGGAACTAAGTGTATTTAGTGCCTTGACTGAATAGTAAAAACACTAGCTGTTCAGCACTTATTGTTTTATCCCTCAGTAAGGCGACAATTGGCATTCTAGCATAGGATCAGAAAATGTAGTCATTCCTATTCATTTAAAAAGGAAAAACTTAAAAACAGCAAATGGTCTAGTAGCACCTTAAAGACTAACGAAACATGTAGCTGGTATCATGAGCTTTCATGGGCATAACCAAAGTGGGTTGTGCCCACAATAGCTCATGATACCAGCTACATGTTTCGTTAGTCTTTCGGTTGCTACTAGACTATTAAAGACTAACGAAACATGTAGCTGGTATCATGAGCTTTCATGGGCATAACCAAAGTGGGTTGTGCCCACAATAGCTCATGATACCAGCTACATGTTTCGTTAGTCTTTCGGTTGCTACTAGACTATTTGCTGTTTTTAAGTTTTTCCTGTTACAGACTAACTCGGCTGCCCCTCTGAAGCTATTAATTTAAGTCAGCCACAGGGTTGTGGTTTCACTGCAATACAACATAAATTAGAAGGTCAGACTCCATTCTCGAGATCTTGAGCCAATATCAATATGACGTGTAAATCTCTGGAGAAAATGGATCCATGTTTAATGCAGGAATATGAAACTCTATACAATTCCAGAAAGAACTGAATAATAATGGAAAGCTGCAAGTAACTGGGTGTCAAGCAGGGCAGAAGGAATATGGGGAAGACTTTTGGATGCCACACTGCTAGGGATGTAAGCGATTAGTCGACTACCTGATAATCATATGCTTATCAAGTAGCTGAGTAGAGACTTGACTAGCTGTTCCTCCCCTCCCCTTGCTGCCTCTATCAGAGAGAGGCAGCAAATAGGGGAAGGCAGGGGTCGGTGCTGGGGGGAGCCAGCTTAAAATTCCACCTGGGAGGGCAGGGGCATAGAGGGGACAGGGTGCAAGCTTCTGCTTTTTAAATGTATTAGGAGCCTGGCAAAGCAGAGGTGCAGTGCGAGAGAGAGGACAGGGAGCAAGATGGGACAGTTGATTCCCAGCTGACATCTGTCCCCCTGTTATGCCTCTGCCTGGCAGCTCTTAATACAGTCAAAAGGGTTAGCTACCCGCTGCAGCTGTGCAGTTTCCCCCCTTATTGACTAATCAAGTAGTCAATGGAAATTCCACTGTGTATTCAATTAGCTGATTACATGTAATTTAACATCCCCTATACATTACTAAACAACATTCAGGAAAGCTTACACATACTAAGAAGCATATGCTCCTTTTGTCTGCATGGCAAGGAGGGATGCAAAATCATGTTAATCACATACAAACAGCCATGGGAAAGCCATGCAGAGGGAACATGCAGCATGCTGTAACATGGCTCCACATCCCCTAGATTGAACTAGACAGTCCCTTCATACAAATAATGCCAAACAAAGCTCTGCTTGGTTGAGAGTCACTGTTGACTGCCGAGATGGGGTGCAGATCCCTTTGACTTCTCCGGGAGTCCTGTCCAGGCTCCCATGAGAAACACACAATGTGGAAGGGGATCCTGAATGCTCTGAGGTCAGACCCATGAAGGTCAAAGATGGGGGAGGGATAGCTCAGTGGTTTGAACATTGGCCTGCTAAACCCAGTGTTGTGAGTTCAGTCCTTACAGAGGCCATTTAGGGATTTGGGGCAAAAATTTGTCAGGGATGGTACTTGGTCCTGCTGTGAAGGCAGGGGACTTGACTCAATGACCTTTCAAGGTCCCTTCCAGTTCTAGGAGATAGGCAATCTCCATTAATTTAATATAAGCTTCTTGCACTAATATCAGCATGCTCTGTGAGAAGAGGCATACTACCCCAGAACGCTGGCAGGCTTCATGCGGAACAATTTCAAAACATCACTTCCATGACATTACTTCAAGCAGAACATGAATCATGCCAATTTTGCATCCTCACCAGCAACATTCAAGAGGAGACAATGTGGCAAACTTCTCCACACACCAAAACCAGAGTTATATTCAGGTAAACATCTCTCAGGTAAATTTGGTTGTGCCAGGAAAATAAGAAGTCCCCAACAGGATTGTTTTCTATAACATGGAAAGGCAAGGCACTGAGAGGAGAGGTGCGATACTCAGTGGCCACTGGGGCAGTGAGCTTTACTACAGAGTGACCACTGGAGGCAGCTGCACCACCAGGAGAGCAGACAGCAGACCCCTGTGGCATTGTCAGCCCATGGTCAGGGAATGCGTGGTGTGTGTGTGTGTTATACACCCGAGTCTTCAACTGCTAGGACAGGGTCCCTTCGCAGTGGGCAGCCTGGAGAAGGCTGACGGGTGCCCCAAAAGTTTGCAGGGAGCGCTTATTACACCCGAGTCTTTGGCTGCTAGAACGCAAGGTCCCTTCGCCGCAGTGGGCGGCCTAGGGAAGGCCGACAGGTGCCCCAAAGGTCTTTCCCGGGGAGGCAACAGAACCCAAACGCCCAGTTCTGCCTGCATCTGCCACTATGACTGGCAGGATTGTGTTACTGGTTCACATACAGCAACATGAAGCCAGTCATGATAGATACGGATTTTAGCTGTATAGAGAAATAGCTTGCTCGAGAGAGATGGGGCAACCCTAAACGGGATAAGGAGATGTTAGAGAAAGACTAGGGACAATCAAAGGAAATCTGGGAACAGTTTTGTAACTGGCGAGCCGCTTGCAAGATTAAAAAGGGGAAAGGGAAAGGTGCTTGCATTTGGCTGTTAAAGGGTGCCTGGCAAGCAGCCTGCACTAGCTACTGGAACTTAGAAACAGAGCTGATAAGAGTTCAGAGAGAGAAAGAGGAGCTACGAAAACAATGCCAGAACCTAGGTATATATATCATGAGTGGTGTGGAGACTCGGGTGTATATATATATCTCACACACACACAAACACCCACACACACA